ACGGAATGGTGTGTGGCAAAGTACCTCTATAGATCATTCTAAACATGCCATCACACCAATGAAATATGATAGTGCTAGAACCATGCTTTGTTGCGGCTATCATTTGGTGACAGGAAGCTCTAAAGAAAATCTTTTGAGAAAACGACTTAAGTCTAATAATCCCGCTGAAATAAAAAACAAACAAAAGCATAAACAAGACTGTTACATGGCTCAGGAGGCCAACATTTTTAATAGTTATGGTCTTGAGGAAGATTTCATGTTTAATGTTGATGCAGGCTGGATAAAGGATAATGTGATATGGACAGACGATTGCTACCTGTGCAGCAATGGTCTCAGTAATCTGAGCCAGCAGCTGATCAATAGGCGATCTAATAGAACATTATAAGGCCCCCGGCAAGACTGCTAAAAGTGAAAAAGACTGGAACGGCCATGGTAGGGGGCAGAAGGCTGATCTATAGATGTCCTGCTCTGTGAGGAAGTGTGGAAGCAGAGGAGACTGAGGAAAGGAGGGCAAGGCGTGGCATTCACTGGCTTGTGTATGTGTTGGACTTGTGGTGCATCGAGGGGAAAGTAGACGAGCTGCTTTTGGAGGGTGCACAGAGAGGCACTTAATGCGCTCATTTAAGATTTTGCGTATCAATGTTTTCTCAATTTGATAAACACAGGTCATGTTCTCTGCCATTTAAGAAATTCACTTTTTATCTTAATAGAAGTCATATATGTAGATAAATATCATTGAAAACTAAGTTAAATTTTTGCAAATTCTTTTGAATAGCCTTTACTGCTGTATTATCACAATCCATGTCTACTATCCATGCCTGCTACAGCTCAGCTCGTATGCAGACACGACTGGGAAATTAATTTTTCCTGCCAGTTTCAATAGATATAATATTATCATGTTACGTTAATGTTGAATTCAATGCAGTGTTCTCACCAGGAGTTTTTTAAGGGGGGGTGTGGACACACCTATATTGTATCTGCTAATTAAGCTGGCATGTTCATATTCACCCCTTAAGATGCAACTATCCTCCTGCTGCTGCGTAACGGGGAGCTAACGCAGACCGGAGCAGCAACACTGCGTTTTAGAGGGTAGATAAAAAAAATAAATAAATAAAAAACAGCTAGACAGACACAGTTTGGTAATCCTTCCTAACCATGTCACTTTACCCCTGGTTTTTAAAACTAGCTCTGTCTGCTGGCAGTGCATGTGTTCAGATATATTAAGCTTCAGGGTGAGTCCATGACAGCGTCTGAAGGGCATAAGTGTGCAAATAAGGAGGTAAATGTGTTTCCACAGTCATCATTAAAAGTCTGTGTATTAGTCTAATTTCAGTGTAAACTGGGTTTTTACTGAAATGGGCTGGACAGAGCCGTGGGGAAGGGAGCCCACATGTCGGTCAAAGAGCTGATATGACCATAAAAAGGCTGCATAAAGGACATGATTTGAGTTTAACGGGGACAAATGAGACATTGTTGTCTTAGACTGCTCACATACATCCACTTATTTTAAATAGCTGTCCAGCAAATGTGTCAGAATCTACTGAAAACTTTTGTTTGCATATAATATTTAATAGCAGCAATCTCATTAATTTAACATGGTAATTAAAGTAAGCAAACAACACCAAATATGATGGATTAGAGAGGAATATGAAGAATTTGGATAAGTAAAGTATGGTAATGAATAATCTTAGAGGAATAGTTTTAAATGATTCTCAGGTGGATTTTTTTATCAGTTGTAATGACACTTTTGTCATTTTATTCACTCAGTCAAAGTCAGGTGACAATAAATGTTGGAGGAATACTTTTGATCTATGTTGCTTATTCTACTGAGCTAATTTTCTCCTGTTATTAAGGCTTTAGCATACAAGGAAGAGGTGGACACAGGAAAAATATTTCCTCTTTCTTTTAAAAATAAAACCTGCATAGAAAACGCACTATTGTTTAGTACAGCATTGAATGTTGCATAGAGGGCAGACTAGTTTGGCTAGCTTATGTAGGTGGGTTAGTAGTTAACTGTTTACACCACAAACTGTCCACAATAACCTCTTTAGAGTTTGATAACACACTAGAAATCCCCCGAGGGATTCCCACTCTTCTTATTTTACAAATATTCAAAGAGCTTATATAATACTGACAAAATCTTACCTCTTTGGAGTGCATTACTTTGTAACATGTAAATACTTATTTCATCAGTGATGTAGTCTTTTTTTTTTTTTTTTTTTTGGTCTACATTTTGTTCTACTTGCATTTGTACTTTCACCCTATGGCTGAAAACTGTGTTCAATAATAATCCAATAGCAGGATATCAATAATTCAGATTTTTCTCACTTCTCACTGAACGCAACTCAACAGACTATTGCATAAGCATGAACTCTTTCACTCCATTAATGATCATGGTGGATGGTCTATATATTTTTTGTTTTATTGTTAAATAAATGAGAACTAACCTGTATGAGCATTATAAACACAACTTATTATACATCTTATACTATTTTTGTTACTTTTCTATAGAGCAGAGCAACAAAAATATTGAATATTTTATGATTTACCAAATAATTAGCAATTTTTTATACATATATATTAACTCTGTGTTCTTTCAAAAATGTATAAATTAAGATGAGAGATTTTAAAGCCAATACTATTTTAACAGTAATAATCACTGCTTTTACTTTTTTGTGCTGAAATGACCTTTTGCGATATTTTAACCATAAATTATGGTGGTTGATATGATTTGATACTGATTCTCTTATAGATTATTAATATTGTATTAATGGCTAATAACAAATATTTAAGGATAATTCCCAACCCTTGGGTTACCAGCATGACAAAACCACACTGCTTTTATTGCTTCTCTGCTGTAAACACTACCCTAACAGTACTATAGCATCACCATCACTGACCCAAACAAATATTATAAGTTGTTCCAGTTTTAGCTCAGAGGCCCATACTAATACATAAAAAAATTACAAACATCTGCTGATCTTCAAATTCTTACCTGTGAGACTCTCACACTGGCATCTACCTGTTTCACTCCTGCTATCTAAGCTACCCTTAAGAGGAAAAAAATAGACGAGATCCTAAGTGAATGTCTTAAATAACTCTTTTTGGACTCATCGCAAATCTGTCTTGATAACCTCAGCCTCAGACATTTAACCAATGTCAGGACCTGGAACAAAAAACTTGACCAAAACAAGAATGCAGTATATTCTAATTTACTACTTTGCAAAGCTCAAAATGTACAACTTTCAGATGAAGTCTAAGTGACACCTGAAATAACAGCAGACATTTAGCTGTAGAAAATGCAGTTTCTGTCTAAAACCCTCTCATGTCTCTGCTTCCTCTGATCTGAGTTCACTTGCAATTCTTAATTATTTCCATCATAACCTGTTGGTCCTTGGGTATGGTTTGTTCATGGATTGAAAACAAATGTCAGTTTTTGAGATTGCAATGCTGCCATAGTTAAAGCAGCACTAAGTACGGTACTTTTTGTGTTGTGTTCCCTCTACATGACCTTTTAAAAATAGCACCGTTGTAAACACTGACTTCCCTCTGCGAGTTGCGCACCCTACAGCTACAGTGCTGTCACCCTCTAAGCATCTGGTAGATGCATATCAACCAAATATCTTAACAGGTGGCCAGTATTGTACATAATCTACTTTATACTAGTGCACAGCAGCGTTGTCGCTTCAATTTGTTCCTTTCATACAAGCCAGTTAGCTGTAAAGGCCTGTTTAGTAAAACATGATTCAACCTCTCTTTGTTCTATTGTGGCATGCTAAAAATCAATCTCTAAAGTCAAGATGGTTAGACCAAATCCCGGTACCATGTCTGCTTCTTTATTTTTGTTTGTGGGCCTGCAACGGAACAAAAGCCTTGTCCTAATTCACTGTTCTGTGAGCTCTGTCTCAATCTAATTCTCGGTTTTCCCTTCCTTCCCTTCTGTAACACTCGCCCAGTCATGTCATAAGCCTCAAAATAAATAAATTATAAACTGTTCTATAATTCCCTCTGCGTAGTGGTGATATTGTGGGACAACCTGTTTTATCGCCAGTAAATTGATCAACCTGTAGCTTATAGTTAGCATTTGACATATTAGCTAGCTATTCATCTTATTTGTACGTTTTTAGGTGCTTCGTACCAGATATAAAATCATAGAATACAATGAATATTCCATCAATAACTACTATGAAGTTATTAATCAAATTTGAGGGTCCTGTAGTCCAAGTTTCTAAAAATTACCTTTGTTGATAATAGTGGAATGAATATGTCCTTTAGAGGGTGTGGTCTTACTTCTTCCACTATTGAACTGTATTTTATGTGCAAGAGATTCAGACAAGGATACATGCATATAATCAAGTGTACGTTAATTAAAACTTGTATTTTAGTCCAGATTATTCTGCAGTACATATTTTAAATGCCCGTAAAGGAAAGCTTCAGCTGTTGCATTTTTTTGTTCATTCCCAAAGACTAATCCTGTTAAGAAAAAAAAATGCATTATCAAGTTCTAAAATGTCCAGAAATTATACTTCTAGTGGCAGCTCATCAAGCATTCACATGCACAGTTTTGCAGGTTGCTTCAAAAATATAAACCAAAGCAATGGCACACAGCTACTGCTGATGTTTTGCCTGTGTGCCTCAGACAAATTTTGCTCGTCTCTTCCAGTGCGCTTGCCAAACAGTAAATCCCATCATCGCCTGTGTGTGTTAAGGATCCTACGTGGAAATATGTTGTTTTTCGACTGTATTTGATTTGTCAACAGGCAGAGCAGCCATCAGTCTGCTTTTATGTCAGGTTTATTCAAGCAATGTGTTCTCTGAAGTGTTTAGTGGAGCAACTGGAAAATAGAAATCTGTTTCAGCTGGCAAAGAGTTCGTCTCTGTATACTTCCCACTCACCATGAGTGTTCTGTTATCTCCTTCTTCTCTCACTCACTAGCTTCTCTCTCTTGTCTTCACCAAAACCCCCATCCTCCCTGTTTTTTTATGTATTTCTTTTACAGGCCAAGTCGTGTATCTGTCACATGTGTGGCGCCCACCTGAATCGACTCCACTCTTGTCTGTACTGCGTCTTTTTTGGCTGTTTTACAAAGAAACACATTCACGAACACGCAAAAAACAAAAGACACAATCTAGGTAAGTACCCCGTTGTTTCAGAACTGGTATTGCATCCCAGTATATTTTATAGTTGTCCTTTCTGTTAGTAACTACTTTCACATGAATCTTTACTATAAATTTTATTTTTTTCTACTAAAATACATGAACTTTTGAAATATTTTCTAATTTATTGATATGTACATTAGTCATCAGCAGCAATCTGAACTTAAAGTCAATAGGTATTCATAAGGAGGTAGTCTATATAAAGGTTCTAAGCCTCATCTATTAATTTTAAAAACTACCTTAGCACCACAATACAAAAAGGGGCTTTACACACACTCAAGATTTATTTTACCACTCTTTTGAGAACGACTTATCGTGCATTACAGAAATGTTGCCCATCTACTGTGAATTTGATCTGTGTGTGGGGATGTTTTTTGGTTACCTGACAGGGACAGTATAAGGCCAAATTCTGAGGAATATGCTACATTATGGGGACCTACATGTCCTAATATGAACCTGTCAAGTGTTTCCCATGAGAAACAGGTTGGGGACTAAGTTGTTGAGTTATAGCTAGATTTGTATTAGAATGGGTGTTGTTAGGGTAAGGGTTTCAGTTAGTTAATAAAAATGAATGGAAGTCATGACATAGTCCCCATAAGGATTGCAAAATATAGCCCTGCGTTGATGATTGTGTGTGTTGTATACATTTATAGAGGGACTGATCTAATACTTGGATATCAGCTGCCCTATTTACTTATTTGCTGGATCGGATATCAGATGAATGATGCCTAGTCAGTGTTTACATCCATTCATTTCTATTTTTATTGATATACACAGCAATACAGTTAGAGCGATCTAGTGACTTCAATTTTATGATTGCAACGCTGATTACGCTATCATGCAGAGCAAACACAATAGCTAATGATGATTTATATCTGTTAATTTTTTACCTTTGTTAAAAATCTTTACTCACATAGCAGGATATAAAGTTATTTCAGTAAACAGTTATATTGGATCCATATCGGATATTGGTCAATATTCTCAGCCTATGTATCGTATTGGATCAGTAAAAAAAATAGATTGTTCCAACTTAAAAAGTGATATGTATAATTAAAAAACTCATTGTTACCTAAATAAATTATATATTCTTTTTTATATTTTTCAACCACGGATGTCGTCCGTGTACACCTAAATTCGGCCAAATATATATCCATGGTCAGCTGTCAATTTTTTACGGTCATAGTATCTTAATTCATATGTCTCAGCTAATATATTCAATGGTTGAAATAAGAAATAGGAGTTCTTTACTTTACCTTTGAGTTCCGTCCCAGTGTTCACGGGGATGGACGTCTGTGTCTTCAGCAGGCGTAGAGCTAACAGAACTGGCAGTGTTGCGAGGCAAGGGCTCAAACATGTATGGCTGTAAGCCTTCTACACCAAAGGAAGCTTCTGCTTGGGAACCTACTAGCACTAAGTTGCTAACTGGTTAGCGAGATGCTTCCGACAAACTGGCCACAATCAAACTTGCTTGCAAACCTTCTGCCACAACAATCCCGCCCTCTTGATAAATGACCAGTCACATTCAATATATTCACTCATGTTCACTCGTGCACCACTCGCGGAGAATTCGGAAATGCAACGGTTGGAGCAGCAGTTTTCCTACGACTTTAAGAAAATGTTTTGATCCCAATGCTTACCGTGAACAGCTTTAGTGAGAAACTAGCTCTTTGTAGCAAAGCGGTCCAGCTGGGTTTAGCATCTCCTAGCAGCAGCCGCATAATCACTAATCTTCTTTGGGTAACGCTCAACTTTTCCTCCTTTTTTTTTCTCATCTGCATTACCACTTGTGATTTTTATATTGTCATAAATGCTTACATGCTCCGCTTCAAATTGAAAAGGTCTAATGTTGCATATTACTGTTTTGGCTGAACAGCGCTAGTGCAACAGGACATACCATATATCTGTTACCCAGAATGCATTAAAGCATAAAAATGCCGACGTCCATGTAATATTTTGCTTTATTAAAACTAAACAGCTTACAGTATTTTATTGTATAGTATTTACATTGAGAATAGATATTTTGCAAATAAAGTTTATTTTTACAACTAATCCTTGATCCCTTAAAAAGCTTAAAAACTTAATTAAACTCAACTCTTTGGTTAAAGACACCCAAGTGAAGGAGTAAAGTATTAATTAGCTTTGAGCTATACAGGAGCTGTTCTGACATTGGCTCTCTGCTCATCACTGCTTCAAATCAAATTAGTCCAAACTCCCGAGCGTGCTAAACGGTTGAATGGCAAGCTTCACCCTCAGGGCTCCTTTTAATGCTGTTTTAACCTGTTTGTTCTAAACATTCTCACTCTTAGATCTCTTCAGACCTTCTTCTCTTTTCATGTCTACTTTCTCTTCCCTCTCATCTCCCCATCTTTTCATTCACTGTTCTTATGCTTCACTCAGGTGAGGAAAGTAATTGATTTCTGTCTATATCAGTGAAGGTCTTTCAGTCAATATATTCTCCCCTCTTCACTGCGGTATTCCCTTTTTCCTCTATCTTAAAACTAAAAATTTCTGCCCCTTTTTTTAAGGTTTATGAATAATGCTGAAGCTTACTTTTACAGTGTGGGTAGCGCCAAAAACAGAAATGCGTCCAGTTAAACTAAATATAGGTTGTCACGGCAACAGAGCTGAGGTATTGTTGCTGTGGACTTGGAGGATAGAAGATGGTGGCGTATGTGTTAGTGCATGGGTGGGAGAGGTGAAAGAAATGTGCCTTGAACACTTCAGTTGCATAGTTACTCTGTCTGTGATAAATTGATCACAATTAGATTCTGATGGTATAACTTTGACCAGTTTTGTGGCATTAAAACACATTTTAAAAAAGAAAAAAAATAGCATGATCTTCTTTTACCGTATTTTAATTGGAGAAGAAAAAATATTTAGAATTTTAAAAATTTTTATTTTTCCTACAGCTTTGAAACTGTATATAATAAAAATATATAATTACCACCTTCTAAAGTTAGTAGCTACATTGCAAAAATTTGAATATATGTGAAAGCCATTTTTTTTTTCTTGAAATAACTATTTTAATTAATTGATTGAAGCAGGTATGACAATTAGGCAATGAAACAAAAATAATTTCGGTTTGAAATAAGAAAAAGCCTCTCCATCATCTTATTTCAAGTGCCTAATATCTGATTACCTCATTTTTAAGAGTAACAATACTCAATCCATTAGCAGAACATCTTATTTACCTGATCAAATGAAAGGCAAATATACTTAAGCTATTTTCTGCTTTACTTGGGTTTAGATTAGTTTATGCAGTATATGATTTTGAAAGTTTTGAAAGTTCAGTTTGTAGATCTTTACTTTGGTAACGCTTATTATGATTGTTTTGGTTAATACTAAGATCACGCTTAAAACTGTGCCTCTTTTAAAAGGAAGTGTATTCAGTGCATTTGAAGCCCTAATCATAAGGTTTTACCTGATTACTTCATGTTGAATCTTCCTTTAAAGTAACTGAATTATATATATCATGATGTAGGACATGGTATGAAAAACTAGCAAGAGGAAAATATTTAGATCTCCATCTGAGAAAAAAATATGATCAAAACATAGAAGAAGAATGGGACCACAGTTAATAGTAGCCCCAAGTTTTAGTGCAGCTTATAAAATGAGCTATAATTTTTAAGTTTTTTTTTTTTTTTTATTATAATCATTGACTAAATAGACCTTGCATTCCATTAAGGGGATTTCAAAGGATTCAGACAGATTTTTAGAATTTTTTTTTATCTCTTACTTTGAACAACTGTGGTAAACCAATAAAATACGAAAATGAAAGTGACCCAAACCTACAAACATACATTTGTAAGAACTTATTTATATTTCAACCAGCCTTTTTCTTTCCTCCTTCCAGCAATAGACTTATTATATGGTGGAATATACTGTTTTGTGTGTCAAGACTACATATACGACAAAGACTTGGAACAGATTGCCAAAGAGGAACAGAGGAAAGCCTGGAAATTGCAAGGTATAGCCTTCTGCTTCGCCTCGAACTGAATTAATGACATGTTTTTAATTCATCTCTTCTGATAACTCTCTGTAGTTACATTTTCATTTCTTTTGTATATAACAGGAATTGGGGAGAAATACACAACGTGGGAGCCCACTAAGAGAGAGCTAGAGTTATTACGACACAATCCAAAGCGAAGGAAAATCACTACCAACTGTACCATAGGTAGGCAATAGAGTAAACAGTTCAGCCCTTATGTCTTAATCAAAACAGTTTTTCATCTTTTGACAGTTGTGTATGTTCCTGCTTTTTGTACTTTTGTTCAAGTGTGCTTGAGGTTAGTGTTGCATTTAAGTGTGATACTCAAGGTCAACTGCACAGAGCAGCCCCACAGGCAGAGTGCAGCGAGATGAAGAACACGTTGTTCCCACGGAGATAGATGCCCATCACAAGCTTTGTTTCATCTCGTATTCACTCAAACTGTTGTTTTTTAGCAATATGTTGCCTTCTTGTACTTTGGCGCTCCCTGTTTTATCTGTTTGGACCTTTTATGCCATCAGATCTTCAGACAGATTAACTGGTCTGTCCAACTGACTGATAAATTGTGTGGACTCAGTGTTAGCATGCCAAAACCAGTCTAGAGTGTTTAATCTCTCACTGAGCACCCTCTTCCAGTACTAAACCTTGCTCGGTTTGGATCACACCCAGGCCATGGCTGTGTTCCACCTGTTCAACCAGCCAACAGTAGAGCATTTTATAAATGAATCGGTTCACAGCTTCTTCTCCGGACTCTCACATATTGCTGGCTTCCACATCTCCACCAAAGTTATGTTTATTCTCATGCCATGAATCAAATTGATTTGAAATATAAAAAGTTATTGTTTTGTTTTTTTTTTCGGGGGGGCACAGATGCTCTGATGGTTACTGATTTCAACACAATTCGTATAAGATTGCCTGGATGCCAACAAAACTGTGAAATAGTCCTTTACCACAGTGAGCTAAATATTTACCTGTATAATAAATCAGTTATTTCTGGCTAGAAGTTTCATTCATTTGAAAGCAGGATATGTGCATTCTTCCTCTTATGATGTTCTCACACTTCTACTGTCTTCTCATCCTGCAGGTTTACGAGGGCTAATAAACCTGGGCAACACGTGTTTCATGAACTGTATCGTCCAAGCCCTAACTCACACGCCGCTGCTGCGAGACTTTTTTCTCTCTGACAGACACAAGTGCGAGATGCAATCAAACTCCTGTCTGGTGTGTGAGATGTCGCAGCTTTTTCAGGAGGTATGATGCTAGCTTGTTTTTAGGATGCTTTCGGTGAAATTAAGGTATAACCAATTATGAGGTAGAAAATAACACATGGCTATAGTCAGTTGGTTATAATAACTGTGCAGTGCAGATTTCCTCCCCTTGAGTGTAATCTGCTGCAAAAGACTGAGTCACAAAACCTGGAGAGGAGGATAATATCCTTGTTAAGAGGAATGTACAGAGGCACTAAAATGAATGAAGAGGAAGCATTGTTGAATGCTTTTTGTTGTACCAGATTAGTAATTGAATGTCATGTAGTTTTTCCTCAAAGTATTCCTTCTTTTATCATCTCAAACTGTTGCGTAATGGGAGCCTGACTGCTCCCACACTGCCTCACTGTCTTCCTACATCTTCTCTCTTTGCAGCATACATACAGGCCCACAGATGGCGAGTGGAGCTCTAATGTGTTGAGTTGATTCTCCACCCCCAACACCTTTAACAACACAGACTAGCAGAGCTCAAGTCTCAGTTGATATGTTATTAAGTACATAGAAGAGAGGCGCGGATAGAAAACCTTTAATAGATTATTATAAAATGTGAGCATTAATACCCTTTTATGTTCGGATTTTAATCTAATGTATATTTTATATAACAGATCGAAACTCAATGTTGTGTGACTCGTTACTCACAAATGTAAAGAAGCTTGACACATTTTGAGCTTGCTATATTATAATTTTTGGTTTACTTTACTACTGTTTACCTGCAAAAAATGAAGTGGACTTTAAAATATCTGTAATGATGTGTCAGTATGGTTTCATTTTTCCTATACAAGCCAGTTCCAATTAAGAAATCATAAAGAAGAGAGCTGTATTTAAAACATCTAAGAGTTGAAAAATGAGAATATTGAGCTTCCTTTGCTCTATTTCATTCCAAACTTTCCACTTGGTTCTCAAACCTTTTTTTTTTTTCCTTATACCCTAATGTGCTTCCTGCAGGGTTTGATTTTTCCTGTCATATAAGACTATTGCATGGCACACTATACAACGTGGAATAATTCATATTTGGGACAACATCATATATAATGTGTGCACATTGTGCGATCACTGTTTATTCACTAGATTAGCAACTATTAGCGTTAGGAGTGTGTGCGCCTCATAAACAAAATCCATCTGTGCCGCTACAGACATCGCAAACAAATCTGAAAACAGAAGATTTTGGATTCACTCGGGTTTGAGGAAAAGAGACCAACTTGGGAAGGTGGTTTACTGAGAGTTTGACGGAAAAATTAGATGCAAAAAGCCTTTCAATATTCATTGCATCAAATTCCACTCCAGGCTCTAAAAAGATATAATAACAGGGAGTTTTCTTTTTTATCAGTCTAGCCTACAATCAGAGAATAGGTATAAAATAACCCTCTCGTTTGTGACTGCCATATAATCTGAGGTTGCTGCAGGAGTTGATGCTTCATGTCACAGTTTGATCCAGTTGGAGCAAACAGGACAGGTCTTCCACAACAGAAAATGATTCAGAAATCTGAAACATATTAGTTTTATTTTTTCTTTGTTATGTGGGAAATCATTTGGAGTCTCCTGAGTGTTTCCTGCTGGACCTGCCAAAACTTTCCCCCTTATATACGTTACCGTGGTTGCAGAGGATTCTCATATTGGATAAAAAAAAATTACATCTTTGTATTTATATTGCATGCAATGAAACTGAAATATTTTAATTTTATATTAATAAGTGAAGGCAGTCAAAGGTAGTACTTAAAGATGGCTAATGTGTTAACTTTACATTTATTAGGCTTCTTATTCATTAGCAGTTTTTAAAGTTTACTGGTATACTTTTAGAATTAGCATGTGATATTTGGGCTGATGCTTTTCTGCATATTTTTCTTTGGATCATAAAACTCTTGGAAAGATCACTTTGTGTTCATTTTCTCTATTTGATCTTAATGTGGCACATTTCCAGCAGCAGTCGCATTCCTATTGGTTATTTAGTCGTGGCATGTCATAGTAGTTGTCGCACTGTGGGATTGTTATTATTAAAGGGGCTTAAACAATTAATCAGGTTTGTCGTGATTATTGAAATAATTTTCAACTAATTTAGTGATCGATTGTTAACTGGAGTATAAAGACTCTAAAACATGCCTTTAGCTGAAACAGCAACCCACTTAAAACATTAATTATAAAAAGCATTGTCAAAAAATATATAAATATTTTGCATTTAAGACAAAAAATGCTCAATCCAGAACTCCTGAAGTGGAAAAGTTTTAGTTTCACCTGGTTTAATTCTGTAAAAAATCTTCTTTAAGGAACTTTTTGCCATCCAGTTATTAATCGATTTATGGAAAAAATAATCAACAAATTAATCGATAATCAAAGTAATCGTTAGTTGCAGACAAATTATGAATGTCAGACACAGTCAGAAAACCATTGCAAGTTATCTTCGACTGCAAGATGCTAAACACGGCCATCGTAGAACCTGCTTTACTGTGCAAAGTTAGACCACAGATTTTTTTTCAATACCCCTCACCTTTGTCTGCGGCGGCCAGTAAGTGCCCAGTGTATGCCCGGCATAAGGTGGAGTGCAATACAGTCCACTTCCTAAGACATCTTAAAACCCTTAATTCTGTTTGATGATTGCAACTTTTTACCCCCAAATGTATAATTTATAATTATACACCAAATTAATTATTTGCACAATAATAGGACATTTGTGCTGTTTATTGTATTTATCAATAAATTATAAGTGCTGTTAATATTTAGACCTGAGGCATCTTTGATTAGACAAAGCTGATAATGTTTTAGAGATGCTTTCATGTTCAGTTCCAATAAAACACCATCCCGAGTGTTAAACATGATGGTGGGGGCATCATGCTGTGGGATGTTTTTCCCTCAGCGAGGTTGGGAAAGCGTGTATGAGCTAATAAGAAGCTGGAAAATATAAATGGAGGTGAACCTGTTAGAAGCTGCAAATGACTTTATACTGGAGCAACAACTTAAGCTCTATAACTAGAGATGAAATGGCCTGCTTTAAATCAAAGCACATTAATGTATTCTAATGGATCAGGGACAATAAATGAAATCGTATAACAGCCTCAGCAGCTGTATATTACTGCTGGACACGACCATTAAAGGCTTCTCTGTCTGCTCATTTCTGCAACCTGCCGGTAAAGATGTTTTTTATTGTCAAAGCTTTTTTACTGTCTACATGTCAATACCACTGAGTTCACAACATATCGTTCTTGATGGATTAACAGCTTAGGGACAGGTTTTTTTGGGGACTCCTACTTTAAAAGACTGGCAACTTGTATTGCAGCACAAGATGATTTTACATCGCATCTTAATTTGGACCCTCAAAGTAATTCTTGCCATATGTCTCTGGTCTTAAAACCTTGCCGCCTTTTCCTTCAGCTTTATGGTTATATAGTTAATGTTTTCTCACATTTGAGCCCAATCATAATAATACAGTGTTTTAATTTGTAACCTGAGAAACGGTATGGGGTGAAAGACACATTTTTGCATAGCCTTGTAAAATTTTCCTTTGTATCCTCAGTTCTACTCGGGCCACCGTTCACCGCACATTCCCTTCCGCCTGCTGCACCTGGTTTGGACTCACGCACGGCACCTCGCAGGTTATGAGCAGCAGGATGCCCACGAGTTCCTTATTGCGGCGTTGGATGTTCTACATCGGCACTGCAAAGGAGACACAATAAGTAAGCTTTGCGCATAACACTCTGACCATTCCACCAAGTGAAAAGGTATACTCAGTTGGAAATTTTTTTTATAAATGATAGTCTTTTATACCTGAACTTACTGCAAACATACAGAAGAGAGAGAACCCGATAGTGTTAATGTAGCAAAGCTTACATCTAGTTGTGGAAAAAGGGCAACTGGTTTTCCAGATTGTCCTCTTTGCGTTTGTGTGTTTTAACATCAGTCTTTTTTCCGTGCAGGAGACGACAACGGGAAGAAGACCAACAATCCAAATCACTGTAACTGCATCATTGACCAAATCTTTACTGGGGGCCTACAATCTGATGTTACCTGTCAGGTTTGCCAGTAAGTTTGTAAGACTTGTTGGTGGCTTTTAAACAAAGAGTTTTCATTCCTTTTTATTTACTCATCCCTCTATCTTTACCTACCCTTCGCCCACAGGTAGATCAAAATGTAGGCCGTCTGTTTTCAGATGGTGTTTAACCATGTGGCTCTCCTTCTCCTATTCAAAGAGCCCGGTCCCTGCAGAGCTTCTTTAATGGGGGTTGTCTAGACAGCAGCACAATTGAAGCGCTGCCTGCCTGCCCCCTAGAGCTGTCCTGTCGCATTAACACATGCACACTGCACTGAATTGTAAAGCACCTAGCCAAACTAGCAGGCAAACCTTGCCTATTGTAATATCTGCATTATCTGTTTGAACATTTTCTGAAGAGGTTTGCTGCTTAAAGACTATAAGTGGATAAATGATTAAGGAAAAGAATGCACGAGCTCTTTGAAGGAGGGAGGAAACCTTATGGTGCCAGGTTACTGCAGGGTGGCACTCCCATCATCATAAATGCTTACCGATTTGATTTATTGGTCTCCCACTGGTACCCTTTTAGTATTAGAAAATAGTGACTCATCTCAACAGCCTTGGTAATGTGCAGTAAGTCTTCTCTTACACTATGTATTTATGCATATAAGCCAGTGTGGGCCACAGTCTACAGTCCTTAATTGCCATTGTGTTGAAAGGCTATAGATTTCAAAAAGCCCATTCTCTTTGTAACCTTATCTTGTAATATCAGCTTGGATATTATGTACAGAGACAGGTTTCCACACCCAAGGTTAAAACAAAAAAATGTTCTAAATCGAAGGAATGGCAGAGTTAAAACTTGTGCATTGCAGCTTATGTCATCATCCTTTCATCACCTGCAGTATGTGACAAACAGGCCAACAGAAAAGCACTTTCCACTTAATCTTCATCCTGGACTAACCTCTCTTTCTGCTCTTTTTTTCTAAAGTGGGGTTTCAACAACCATAGATCCATTTTGGGACATCAGTTTGGATTTGCCAGGTTCATCTACGCCTTTTTGGCCTCTGAGCCCCGGAGGGGACAGCGGCACAGTCAACGGCGAGAGCCACCTGTCAGGATCCACCACACTCACAGACTGCCTACGCAGGTACAAGCTTGTCTCCACCACTCTATTTTGACTTAACTGTTATTTCTTTTTTAAGATAAGTTTAAAAGTAACTCTTATACATAATGGAAAAATCATGATGCATCTATTAGTAAATTACAGGTAAATTTGATTGTTTGGTGAGAAGTCTCTTGGCATCTGCTGTTAATAATATTACTATCCACAATTATATTACCATTGCTTTTATTGCTATGACAAAAAACTGTTCTGAAGAAATGTATGCAAAAGTATGCATTGAATATTATCATTGGTTTGAGTCAGTATTGTTAACTTAGTTCCCTGCCATGTTATCCAACATAGGACCATTGAGTCCCAGGTTTACGCGGTTGCATAAACAGGATAAGTGTTTTAGCTCAACTGAAAAGGGAAACTTAAGCAATACTATAAACCAGTGGCAACATGGAATGATGGTGTATTTTCCCCCAAACTCTGAGATCAAATGGTAATGATTAAAGGATAAACCACTCAACTGGCCAGAGATTAAATAAAACAAAACAATTAAAGGCTTTCCCTCCTTCTTTTAATGCATGAAAATATATAGGTATATACATGAATACCTTTGAATCTTTGTGTTTTGACAAAAAAGAAAAATGTTTTTTGAGATGCATTGTTAAACTTTTTGTCTTGGATATAGAACTTTTGGTTTTATTTGTCAGACAAGAAATGTTATTAATCCTGAAAGCTGAGTTCAGTGTATCTCTACCAGTGATTTCTATTGCTTCTATTGGTTTTTTGTATCTTTTCTGTCAAACTGGAACACCACACAAACGCACCCCCCACACACACACACTTGTATAAAGGGTCACATATGGTGTCTGCTCAATCCCAACAACCCTGTTATGCTTGGTTCTCCTCTTGTCTCATCACCTGGTTGACAGAGCAGGTGTGACCTCGCAAATTCTCCACTGCAACCTCCTCGTTTGGCAATTTCTTTTTCACTTTCCCTCATCTTATTTCATTTCCCTGCCTCTCTACCTAATTCCTTTCCCCCCATGCCCTCAATCTGTACCTCTTCCATTTGTTTCACCCCCAACTCTCTTTTTCTTTTTTTTTCTCGCCTTCTATTTTTTTTCACTGCAGCACCTCACACACCCCTACTTGCTGCAGCAAGTCTCTTAAAGGTACAGAGCAGGCTGAAGCTGTTGCGCTTACTCAACTGAGATCAAACGAAACCTCCATCCAAATTAATGATAAAAGCCAAGGATGTTCGCTGTGAGATCTGTAACCACACAGAATTACGGTTTGCTATAAATGCTGTCCTCTGGTCTGCAGGTTTACACGGCCTGAGCATCTTGGAAGCAGTGCCAAAATCAAGTGTGGGGGTTGCCATAGTTACCAGGAGTCCACCAAACAGCTGACAATGAAAAAGCTCCCCATTGTAGCATGTTTTCATCTCAAAGTGAGTCAGTAGCAATGCGCTACCAGTTTGTTATTGTAAAGCTGTAGGTCTTCACTCTGAAACAGTTGATGCGCTCTACACAGAAGCCTTATTATAAGCTTATTTATTCTTTTATCTGTACAAGCGGTTTAGAGTTTTAGTGCATCGGTGTGTTTTTTAGTCCATGTAGCTGTTGTTGCTTTACCTCCTGCTGTTTTAGTGCTTTAATGTTTAGTCCCAGTATCTCCCTCAATCTAACAAATCCACTCCCCATGTTTTATTTATTACATGGAGCTAGAGACATAAATAATGATATTCATGGTATTCATTTGAACACACTGTAAAAGCCTTTGAGCATATTCACATTATTGTTAAATCAAGGTTGAAAACATATAAATTGTATTTATTATAAAGTGTTGCTTTAATTTTACCTTTGCTTCCTTTCCCATCCCTCCCTTCTTTTAACCTTTTTCCTTATCACTCCTCTCTGGACCCCCCTACAGCGGTTTGAGCATTCTGCTAAATTGCGGCGGAAGATCACTACATATGTTTCCTTCCCTTTAGAGCTGGACATGACACCTTTCATGGCATCCAGGTAATACTTGAAATTTTTTATTTTTTTTTTTACTAAAGCTGCACCAGTGATTGGTCTATGGCTGTGACTATAAGTCAGAAATGTTGTTCCCTTATATATACTATTTTGGGTCTAATAAATACTTCAGCTAACAGCAGAAGTTCTGTACTGGTTCAAGTCTGTATGAATGTATAACTGAGTAAAAATTCTTTATAAATATAAAAAAAATAGCTTTAAACAGTCTATACAGTAAATATAATTAATCTATGTATGAAAGCTAAGAACGAATCTTCTTACCGTAAAACTCTTTTGATGTTTTTATTCCTTAAAAAGCCACATACGGGTTATTTCCCTAATTGGGAAGAAATTGTCTTAGATAAATGGATAATTCTGGGTATAAACTGTAATTAAAATATATTCGCCTAAAATGTATGTTTTCAGTTTGAACAGCTTTCCAGCACCACTGCCATGATTTCTGGATCAAAATGAATAAATCGAACTAAGAATTGAACACTTGATGCCTTAAAAAAATCAGATAATTTAGTTAATTAGTCAGATTTAAATTTTTAAAACCTTCTTTTCACAAGGAGAATTGCTTACATATAATTTTTTGACATATTGTCCATATTTAACTGAATCCAAACACTAGCTTGAAATCTTACTATGTGATATTGAAAACAAAGTTGTTACCAATTAAGAATGACCTGTAGATGTTCTTTCAAAATAATATATTGCTGATTAAAAAAAGCTAACATTTTTATTTTGGAAAAGCCCCTTTTTAATAAAAAGGTTGCTTTAATTGAGATAAGTGCAATCAGATGAATATTCTTTGAACTTTTTTTCTAAAGATTGTTTGTGGCCTACCATAAGGACTTTTTATATGCAGTGCAAAACTTAGAGGTTTTAAAAAACATTAATCAATAATAATACATCCTCCTACTCTGGTTAATGTTTTGTCCTACTTTATGTATTAAAATAAGTTAACTGAAACTTGTAAATAGAAGACTAGCATGGATCAATAATACGGAAGTGAAATTAACCCATTTATTGTAGATAATGGAAGCAAGTTGTCTTACTTCAAGCATTATATAAAAAAAAAAAAAATGTCCTTAACATTACAATTTCAGAACGGAAGCATTACTCATGCTCTGCTTCAGACCAATAGTCCCATAGGGGACGTTTGGTGGTGTTGGGTATGGCATAGTGCATTTACCAGTAAAACTAACAGTTAGCTGGTTTAAATAGAATTTTACAAATGGCAATGCTAAAATTTTATTTGCAACTATGTATAAAAGTTGTTTCAATTTAAAGAACAAAGTGGTCTCGGAGGGACACATGGAAATACATCTGTATACATCTATAATTACATCTGAGAATAATGACTGAAATCAGTACAGCATTAGTTTTACATGATCTATAACAGAAAAATAACTCAAACGCCAAATCGAATTAAGTATCTTACATTTAGTCTGAAAATGTCTGAAATTTAGGAAACATAGAAATCATATATTGTCCTATTCTGCCACCTAGTGGATTTATATTCTCTAATAAAACCAGTATGTGATGTTTTTCTTATCCACAGTAAAGAGAGCAGAATGAATGGGCAGTATCAACAGTCAGTGGACATATTGAACAACGACAATAAGTGAGTACCTATGTTGTAGCATATAGGGAAAAAATTCATTTATAAACCTTTTGCTTTCAGCAATTCAAAAGCAACATTGTGATCGCGGAACTTTATTAACTTTTGCTTAGCAATAAATGCTAAAGACTTGAAGCATCTGGCTATAACTTAGTATAATTAGGCTTCTTAGTTTTCCTCGTCCATAGCATCTAGTTTCCACAAAATTTATTGGAGAATTACGTGGAAAACATACCAAAACTGCATGTTGTGGACAAATAGAGATGTGCAAATATTCTTTGTTTGTCTAATTGCACAGGTTACATAGGTTGATAAGCAGTTTTATTCTATAAATTGCCTGCTCACAACTACATAACAGCTTAAATTGGAAGCCAACCAGATGTTTCAACACCTATCCAAGAGTCTTCTTAAATTCTATCAGTTTGCACTACTAGATGACAGAATTGTTTTTGTTTTTTGTTTGTTTTTTTAATATATCACCAATTTACAACATAATATTAAGGCAGTTTACGGAGACAAATTCAGATCTTATATTCCTGATTGGTAAAACGTATGTCAATAAACACCTTTATGTTTTCAGGTATTCCTTGTTTGCTGTGGTCAATCACCAAGGCACATTGGAGAGCGGCCACTACACTAGCTTCATCCGTCAACACAAAGACCAGTGGTTCAAATGTGACGATGCCATTATCACCAAGGCCAGCATTAAGGATGTACTTGATAGCGAGGGGTAAGAACCAAATATGGACCTTAGCAGAAATCTAAATTGGATGAATATAATCTAAGTCTGATCTTGTTTTTCCCCTCACAGGTATCTTTTATTCTACCATAAACAGTTCCTTGAGTATGAATAAATCCTCTGACCTTTGATCAGGAAGAACCACTGCTTCAAAGGGGAGAGCGAAGAGACAAGGGTGCAGGACGAAACGAAAACACACAAACCTACCTGAAACCTTTTTCAACTACCAGTCTGCTCCTTCACTGAGAGCTATTTAAAAAAAAAAAGACATAAAATCATGGAAACTAATAAAAAAGAAAAGCACTGAGCTACTTCTTGGCATCTACTTGACAAAACTGAATGAAAAGGAATGCTGGTGGAAAAGTCGTCCATCACCTGTTCAGATGTGGGCTCAGGGAAGAGGCTCCAGACCCCTCAGTCTCTCTGTCCCCTGACCCCCTTTTGCTGCAGGGATGGAGTGTGATACTGGGCACACCTGGGATTTTCTTACAGTATTCTAATCTCCATGCCCCCTCCCCTTCCATTTCTCTCCCATGGTGCTCTCATTTCAACTGACCAAGCATTTAAACCTGCTCATAATGAGGATCATATGCATATAGGACTAAATGCAAACAAAAAAATAAGCCCTAACACAGACCAGTGTATTGCAACTTCTGCTAGGACCCTTTTGAAGGTTTGGTCAGGATTTTTATCATTTGTGACTTTAGTTTTGAAATACTGTATGAATCCTAGCATACATCTACGTTTAAGAGCAAAGAAAACATGGGAGAGCTTAGAAACGCTGCCTTTTCAGTTGCTGGAGAAGCGCTGCCATGGAAACTAAACAGATCTGAACCTGAGTGTTCTCATGTTCATTTTGTGTTATTCTTTTTTGTTCATTTTAAAGTGGTTGAGGGCAGGAAATATCTATTTTTTTAGCAATTCATTAAATTTTAAGTTTTTGTTTACCTTTGTTTTTCCAGTGCATTTTTTCTACGTTTTCAGTACAGTCACATGTTCCTTGCTGTTCTGGTACCTGAAATGTTTTTTGGACGTATTATTCTTTCATTCTCGTGAAATTGTGGCTATAATGGCAGTGTGGATCTATCGACTCACCTTTGTGATGTTAAAATATGCTAAACGAGAGCGTACATGTGGCATTCTGACAAGGACTTGATATGTGAACTTAAAATCTGAACCTTTGTGCAAAAGAAAATACCCTACATAAATTAACATGCTGCATGCAACCAGGCTTTTTGTGATCATGTGTTTAAAAAAAAAAATGCCTTTAGATGCGGTTTAGAGATTGCTCTCAAGGAATAATTCACAGAATGGGATGTGTAAGTTAAACTAACACTTTGCACAGATATGGGGGCCATTTGACCACAGCCTGGCTCTGATTCCATCAGTGTTAAACTTCTTCATTGGCTGGTACGGACCACTGTGCTTTGTGGTGTCGTTTCCCTCGGCAGATCAGCAAAATACACGTTCAGTCAGACTCTAGATAATGCACATAATTCCTGTCAGGGTAACTGAAAGTGTTTGTATAAAAATATTCCCTCATGTGAGAAAAGACATGAGGCCATTTACCTGAATTGTAAAAAAAAAAGAAAAGATTCTTATGTTTTTCTGCTCTGTAATTAAATTCAAACATATCTCTTTTTCTTTTTTCTTTTGGCTAGAGGAATATAATGGTTTATGGAAAGTAAAGTTCTACACATAATGTGTAATGATCATGGTTTCGATGCATTGTGGTCCAGTTCAGACCATCCGAAGGCATTCAGGGAAACAGCTGAAACAAAAAATTAGAGCTTCATTGTCTGTTTCAGTGATTAAACTCAGAACAAAACTGGAATGTGCATTTGGTGTGCTTTTTTTTTTTTCTTTTTCTGAAGTACTAGACGATGCACTGTAGTACATCTGAGCCAAATCTGTATAGTTTTCTATTGTCAGGTGTACAGTTTCTGTATTCTACTTCAGTCATTATTATAGCAAGGCAAAAATAATAAAAAGCATATATACTGTGAGCTGCAGCTTTGTAAATGTCGAATTCAACCATTTTGTTTCTGCTCTTTGGTCACCTTTCACTCACAAGGGTATGGCTCCACCCTGTGGTCGCATATAGAAGCAAAATGCAGCGTAAAGGAAATTAATTCACATTTCTGGCTTTAAAAATTCACTTATGCTTTACAGACAGGTATTTTTCTCTGTTTATTCTAAAATGTTGCATATTTCTAAGGAAAACAAAGGCATTAGTTTGGAGGTCATAACTTATGTTAAGCATGTTCATAAGTTATTTTCTCTTTCACATTTTGATTTTATAACGGTAAAACTACCAGTTCTATTAGTGAACAAAGCTGTTAGCAGTCTTGGCTTATCAAGCTTTTTTTTTTATTTCAAATAAGCAGAGCTTTTGGGACAAAATCAAATCACAGATATACAAACTTGATACAGAAACAGTTTCCATAACCAGACTGAGCAGAACAAATACATTTGGCTACATAATGCATCTTTAAAGATAAAGTAAGGTATATTTTCATTAGCACTGTTAGAAAACAATGTGCTAATGTCATTTTAAATTGAAATATGCTACTATGATGTATAATTTGTGCTTTTTTTGTACCACCTAATAACAGAAAAGACTAATATTTTTGCTTAAACATTTTTCTTCGTTCCATCACACAATGTCTAGTACAGATATATACCGGTATATATATTTTTGGAAATCTTTAGCAACTTTTACATGCATAATGTGCATAATGCCTGGTGTTGTTAGCCAAAGTCATTACCAATAAACATGGTTTCACAATGAACAAGGTTATCACAAATTATGGGAGAAATGTTTGCAGCTTTTTAATTTAATTTGATTCTACGGTGGAGCAAGAAATATTGACTTTTCTTTCCTGTTTTATAGTAACTTACTAAAACATGCAAAAAAAGAAAAATTTGGATAGTCAGCCCTTTTTCATGTTCAAAACAAATGAATTCAATGCTAAAGTTTTCTCTAATGTGAACCATTTAGAATTACAGTATGTGTGATATAAAACCATTCCCAATGATGATTGACACATTTTAATAGTTCTCAGCAGAAAAGACTTCATGTACATATATGACCTCAAAACACATAAATATGTCAAAAAATGTGTTTATTCCACATTTGCTTCATTGCATCCCCTTCAGGATTTAAAAAGGGTCGTACAGTGTCTGTAGCTCAAGACTTCCAAACATCGGATCTTTTCCAGACAAACATACCATTGTTTTGTATTTTTTAATCCTTGAACCCAAGACAGCGATTGCATGGAGTCACTGTCCAGTGTGAGACATTAGCTCTTTGCTTCAGGCCATCAGTCTCAAACTCAAATCCTAAAAGGTCAGAGTCCTGTAATTTTACACACTTAAGTCAACAGCTAAACTGACTCACTAGCAGAGAGTCAGGCTTTACAGAGCCCTGCTAATGAGCTAATATTTAGGACTGGATTGTTAAGGTAAAACTAAAATTTACCAGTCAATAGCCGTTGAAGTCTGGAGCTTAAGATCGTTGTTTAGAAGTATTTAAGTTGTTTTAAACATTTTTTAATATATAATACTTTAAAACAATGTCATTACACCGCTTTAATCAGTGACATATTTTTCATTTTAAGTATCCCAAATTTTCTTTTTTTTTTTTTTTTCTTGCTTTTTTCCACTGGTAGTAATTCTAAAAAAAGATTCTCTTTCTTGTATTTTGACTGCCAATTCCTTAAAATACAGCAGGTCTACCAGCAAATTTTAGGTGTTTGCGCTATCCTGCCTCGTTATTATGAATATTTCACTTATAGTATTACCTTACACAGACCAGGTATATTTAGTGTAATATTTGGAAACTTTTTGTGTATGGATGAGGAGATTTTAAGAAAAAACATAAACTTCTAGAAAATAATTGTTTGAGGCTTCCATCGAATGTTAGAATTTTTTTCCCCAGAACTTTTTATTGTCATTACACTGTTACATGTACAGAGCAACGAAATTCACACTCTGCATTTAACCCATCCCATCGGGGAGCAGTGGACTACCATTTGCAGCACCCAGAGAGCAGAATGGAGTTAGGATCTTGCTCAGAGAACCAGAGTGGTAGTCTGTGGGAGTGGGTTTTGAACTCACAACCTCAGGATTCCAAGCTCTATGCCCTAACCACCACTCCCCTTGTAAATAAAACTTGCGTGGTTTGGAAACTAAAATAAGTCTCCAAACCCTGATGACTATATCCAGTTCCAGCAGCTGTCACTTAATGGGGTTTTCTTTTCTTTTTGGAAATGAACCATGTTAATTCCCGAAGTTTTTCAATATACATTTTTATTTAATTATACAATTTCTTTCTTAGGCTAGGGAATTTGAACATTTGAAATGAAACATTTAAAACACGTTATTTTAGTTGTACAATCTTGCTTTGGTGTTGGTGCTCTGTTGGTTTTTCAGCCACAGTGTATTATGATTCACCGATTAATGTAGCGTTTAGCCTCTGAAAAATACTTTAACGGCATCGTGTGATTTCTTGTGCTGTACAAAGCAGTAGAAAATAGTTTATTATACAGCACCGCTTGAAAGGAGTAAGTAAATCTGCTTATTAGCTCTAATTAGTAAGCAACTCACTTTTTTGGACAATACTGAAATTAAATTATACATTTCTTGCTATGAGGCTCATGAATTGTCTTTTACAAAAGAAGAAGTATGCACATATAACTTTTAAGATTTAATCCTCACTATATAAGTTACACATAATAGCAAAACAGGTGTGATACAGATACGTTCACAACCCATCTATTTGGAAACTATGAGATGGAAATCCTACATCTGGCGGAAAAGCAATTTTACTGTTAAGTTAGGCAGGTTGTGAGGTTGATGTGTGTTTTCAGCTGCAAATTAATACTAAGACGATAGTGGTGGTGATAAAGGAACACTATAACCTCTTAAGGATAAGTGTTCTAGCCCTTCACAAATCCACATCACTCACTCAGCCTGTGATAGAGAGGTTGTTACACTAACAATTGCTCCCTCTCAAACGGCACAAGAAATTTAAATTATATTAGTTTTTTCTTGAGTGGGTCAAAGCAAGTTGAGTTTTTTTTTCTTTTGACTTTGCAGAAAACACATAGAAAATAGGGCACAGCAATCTTTGAAGCTCAAGCAGCTCCTGACAGATGGGTCCACAGCGAAGACGAGTACAGTCATCATTCATGAAACATTATATGGACAGGTTTCATGTGCTGACATAACACAAACACACAACAACCCAGGATTCATACTGAATAATGTAGAGTCACATAATCCAACATTTTTTTTTTCAAAGAGACGTAATTTACATGGTCAAACTGTACATTAATCAATTGAATTATACATAAGCAGTAATGCAAAACACTATCCCACATACATTTAGAGTGATGAACATCAGCAAGAATATTTTTTCCTGTTTAACACTGTGCTGTAGGTTACTGGAGCTACAACTTTAACGCACTATTGCCACGGAGCCAAATGTTACCTACATTTATATAGATATTTATCACAAGTAAACTGCTCCAATAAATAAGAATATCCACACTTCAAAGGAAAAACACAAGAGCGTTGAAGCTCATTACATTCTGCTACAGAGGGATAATTTATATTTGAACATAATTGAGTTTTTTGAAATATGTACATCATAGATTCTGTTTTATATACAATCTTTGCGTCCAGATACACAATTATTTACAAAAATATTTTACTTCCCCCAAAAAAATCACAACCAGCTAAAACAACTGCAAGTTTCGTTATACCCGTGTTGTTTCAAACACTGGTAGGAAATCTAATGCAGGGCATGTTGTAAACAACATATATAATCCTGAGTCTCCAGGGAAATTTACGTCACCCAGGAGACCATTTGCAAGTGGGTGTGATTTGTTATGTTCCCTCAGGTCTACATAAAGTAATCACAGTTGTCAATCACATTTGGCTTAAAGCCTACTGATGACATTTAAATAAACCTGTGATTTATTTTTTTGGAATCACTAAAAAATCCAACAAAAACACAGGAATAGCGGTTTTGACATGCTGCCTTTTCCTTCTAAGTTCTGGGGCTTTTTTTGGAGACACCTTGCAGAGGTTGGTAAAGTCTATTACGATTTCCTCTTAGATGCTGGTCTGCAGGTCGCCATTGAGCAAAGTACTCTGTGTCTCTGTTGGGTCGTTCATCATCCGAGATTTGTCCTGCCGGCTGTCACTTCGCTCAACCTCATCTAGCCCTCCGACCTTTTTAAGGCACAGAACATTCTGGAAACTCTTCTTAAAGTTCTCTGATAGAAAGGCATAGAGGATAGGGTTGGCACAGCTGTTTGCGTATCCTAGAACCACAACAAAGGCAAAGGTGCTCCTCAGGATGGGTGTGGTGCTGATGCTGCCTGTCACAGAGGTCACATTGAAAACATAGAAAGGCAGCCAACAAAATACAAACACAGCCACTACGATGGAAACCATTCGAGTGACCCTTCGTTCTGATCGCTTCCTTTTGGAAGAGCCTACTCGGATGCCTGAAGACTTCACCTTAATTATGATGAGTAGGTAGCAGAGACAAATGACCAAAAGGGGGAGAAAGAAACCTAGAATGAAGGTGTAAAACATGAAGACTGTGTAGTAGGTCTCTTGAGGTTCTGGCCAGACAATTGTGCAGAAGCAACCATTGTGCTTTGTAATCACACCACTATAGATAACAATTGGCAGATTGACCAGCAGGGAAACCCCCCAAACGGCTAAATTAATAGTCTTGGCAATGCGCGGTTTCCGCCACTTGGTGGACTTTATAGGATGTACCACTGCCAAGTAACGGTCGATGCTCATCACCATCAGGCAGAAGATGGAAGTGAACTGGTTCAGGGAATCCACAGTCATAACGACCCTGCAGAGCACGGGTCCAAAGGGCCAATGAACCAGAGCCAACTGAATAGCAATGAATGGCAGACCAAGCATAAATAGCACGTCTGCCACTGCCAGATTGAGGATGTAGATGTTGGTGACTGTCTTCATCTTGGCATAGCGCAGGATGACATAGATGACAAGGGCATTTCCACAAAGACCCACAGCACAAACCAGGAAGTAAATACAGGTGATGACCACTGTGCTGGTTTGGTTAAAGCTGTGGTCTGTATAGCTCCCATTGATGATGGACTCATTCCCCTGCATGAAGCTGTCATACATGAGGTGCTCGGATAGGTTCGGCAGAGATGATGGGAACATCCACGGCTCCATGATCTGCCTAAGCTGATTACGGCATCCCACCTGCACACAAAGAAAGACAACTGATTTTGATATAATTATCAATCTAATGTTGAGGGCAATCCCTCTTCATTTCTGCACCAAGACAACTTGCTGACAGTCGGTCTGGTTGACCTCAACTTAATGACTCACTATCAAATAGCAATTTCCATTATTGCTGTAAAAAAGATTTGCATGGTACAATTCAATACTGCTAGTTTAGCATTTTAGGTTCATGTAGTATATTTACTTTTTCTGGTCACGCATAAGGACAGCCCTTCCTGGAAGGAATTTATTGATTTTACTTGAGAGATAGCCCTTCTTGAGAACTCACCTGACTGAGAGTGTGTCTGAAGAAGGACCCTGTCAGAAAAGGACCTTTCTTACACAGGCTAGAGCACTTTGTGTATCTGCTGAAGTCCTTGAAATATCAAGGGAAATAACACACAAAGCAATTACAAGCTCTCCAGGTGGAAATAACAAATGATCAGATGCGACAAGTTACTCTAAATTTCCCCTCAGATTCTGTGTTTTCAATTTATTAAGGCCTAGCCATGGATGTAAATTAACCCAAGCCAAGTAATTGAAAGCAGAGAATCAGGGCACTGCCAAGCTGCTTTGCTTCAGTCAGATCAAAGTGCCTTTTACTGCATGCCTGTTCATAAGCACAGACATGATCTGATAACTTAGTCTGGTGCCAGTAAGGTCAGTTGTTTTATTGCGCTAGTTTGTTTGTTTGTTTGTTTGTTTGTTTGTTTCTTTCTTTCTTTCTTTCTTTCTTTCTTTCTTTCTTTCTTTCTTTCTTTCTTTCTTTCTTTCTTTCTTTCTATCTTTCTATCTTTCTTTCTTTCTTTCTGCGTAACAGTATAATGGAGCGGACTGTAAACATAAGGTGAACATGCAACCTCATGCTGAAATGGATGTTTGACCTCAGTGACAGCTCAATGTCCATTTTTGGAGTCAGGTGGGCTAAAATACATTTGGATAAAATTTTATCTTTGGACATTATAATATAGATAATAGTCCAGCAATAAACAGAGAGAATATGAAAAATTACCATTAATCAGTCAAAAGAACAATATTTTCTTTGGCACAATTAAGACAAAGCAACAAAGCAGTGATAAGAAATATTAAAGGAATAAAAAGTGAAGAAATATTTTTCAAAAATATACAAAATGTTGCTCCCTGTTGTGACAATGTCTCATCAAGATGCTGCAAATTTTTTTTTTATCTCTCTCTGTTATTTCTCAATTTTATGAAAATATCACAATTACTGCGCAGCAGTGACAATATGAGTAAAATCCAATTATTGGAAGTAAATTTGCACTATAGTGACATGCAATCTGAGTGAACGTAAAAGAAGGGAGGTCATGTTAGTCATTAACGATGTTGAGAAACTCTGCACACACCAGTCGTGTTTGGTTTGTACGGAATGAACTAACACGTGTAAATACATGTAGTTTTTTTTTTTTTAAAACG